AAGATAGCCACAAGATGAACGTGCACAGCCAGCGTCCACTGTGGTGGGTCGACAGCCACAGATGAATGGCACAGCCCAGCGTCCACTGTGGTGGGTCGACAGCCACAAGATGATAGCACAGCCCCACGTCACTGTGGTGGGTCGACAGCCCAGATGAATAGCACACCCAGCATCAACTGTAGTGGTCGACAGCCCAGATAACATGCAACGGCAATGTCAACATAGTCGACGCCACAGATGAACACACAGCCCAGCGTCAACTGCAGTCGACAGCCACAGATGAATTTGAGCATAGACTGTAGTCGACACCACAAAGCTTTGGCTTTTATCTCTGCAGTTGCAGTGTGTACGTCAGCTAATAAGTTACTACAGACTCGTGACCTTTTAACAAGTCTTAGTAGGTTATTGTAGTTATTTTCCTAAAACTGCCTGTAAAGTAGAACGAGCTTTCAGTGCTTTCAAGCTTTCCTCACGACACAAGAGCGAGACGGACGCGTCGTCCATGCGCAGCACAGACCGCCGTGCGGACTGTGGGTGTGGCTGTGGGCGAGGCGTCGCGGCCGGTGAGCCTGGTCCCAAGTGGTTAAAGGAGGAAACTGTGTTTAGGCGCCTTGTAGAAGTCATACCAGCCAGGAGTTTCATTTCCACAGGCCACCCCTCTCTAAATGCGCCTGGCATTCCCAGTGCTGGCGTCCCCGTTGTCATCACAGCCAGAGGTGGCGGGGGCGTGGCTTGGCGGCACCCTTGCAGAAACGCCACACGGCCCCGAAGGCTGAAGTGGCAGGTGTGGGACACGCTCTGACAGGGGCAAAGCTCCTGCCAACCACAGACGTCACACCCGGCCCTCGCCTGCGGAACCTGCCGCTTTCTGTGCGGGTGGCGTCCGTTCCGGCGTATCGATAACCAGGCGGATGCCTCGTGATTCCATCTGGATGAACCGCCGGCGTGCGCAGTCTGACCTCCGGACTTTACTCAATAGCCGGGCATTGCAGTATTTTCCCGGATTAGCCGCCTGCCTCGTCTTTGTGCCGGCAGTTTGGTGCTCTCAGACGGTCCACCGTCCAACTATCGTTATTACTGTTCAGTGACCTTTACGTGCTAGCTCGCAAATACCACGCTATTAGCAAAGCAGATTGCCTCCCTATGGCCTTACTTACCTACGCACAGGACCGTCTCTCCACAGTTTGAAGAGCTCTTTGGCTGGGAAGACCCCTGCGAGCTGGGCAGCTGCCTAGCGTGGCAGGTGCTGCCTGCCCGTGGGGCGCTGTCAGCAGCACATCCCGCTCGGCAGCTTGAGGAGCCTCACGTCCACCCCACGATGCGTCCGCAGCACGGCTGCAGAACGCTGCACACGTTTCCCAGCAGAAAACCAGGTCTTCCATTCCAGGACTTTCCACATGGCATTCCTCACGTGACAGAGCTGGAGCAAAGCGGGGCTGCGTGGTTGTCTGTCCATCCCTCAGTCAGAGGGTGGATGTAGGGAGCTGGGAGACAGACGACAGACAGACGGGGAGAGGGGTGTGGGGGGGAGAGGAGGGGGAGAGAGGGGAGGAGGGAAGTGAGGAGGGGAAGAGACAGGGAGGACAGGGAGAGAGGAGAGGAGGGAGACAGAGGGAGGGGAGGAGGGAAGAGAGGGAATTGAGGAGGGGAGAGGAAGGGGAGGAGGGGAAGAGATAGGGGAGGAGGGAGAATAGGGGAGGGGAGGAGGGAGAGGAGGGAGAGAGAGGGAAGGGAGGAGGGGGAGAGAGGAGAGGAAGGGAGAGAGAAAGGGGACAGAGAAAGGGACAGAGACAAGGGAGGAGGGGGAGAGGGAAGGGAGGAGGGGGAGAGACGGGAGGAGGGACAGAGACAGAAGGAAGGAGGGGGAGAGAGAAGAGGAGGGAGATAGAGGAAGGGGAGGAAGGAGAGAGAGGGAAGGGAGGAGGAGAGAGAGAGGGGAGAAGGGGAGAGAGAAAGAGGACAGAGACAGAAGGAGGGGGAGAGGGAAGGGAGGAGGGGGAGAGGGAGCGGAGGGGGGAGAGAGAGAAGAGGAGGGAGATAGAAGGAGGGGAAGAGGGAGAGAGAGGGAAGGGAGAAGGGGAGAGAGAAAGGGGACAGAGAAAGGGACAGAGATGGAAGGTGGGGGAGAGGGAGGGGAGGAGGAAAGGGAGGATGGGGAGAGAGAGGGAATGAGGGACAGAGACAGACCGAAGGAGGGGGAGAGGGAGGGGGAGAGGGAAGGGAGGAGGGGAGAGAGAGGATGGAGAGGATGGGGAGAGAGTGTCCAGGGCTGCTGTGGCCTCAGTGTTCTCAAGACGCCTTATTGCCCAAGGCCCCGCGAACAAGCGTGTCTGCAAACGTGCACGACACGACAGACTCTCTGAGCAGAGTCAGGACCCCCCCCCCCCGGGTGCAAAAGCAAATACAGATCTTTCGTCTGGAAGCCGCGGTTGGGATCGGAGCCGTGCTGGGAGTGAGACGCAGGTGCTGGCGATGACGGGATTGGCGTGTTTGGAGTGTGCTGGCCGTTTATGTGACACAAGTGCGTTCTGTTTGTCTGACACGGCTCTGACACGTGACACTGGTCTGTTTAACGTTCTGGAGGGTGTTGAGAACAGTCTGCTTCACGGCGCAGACTCTCGGGTGCAGGGAGGCAGAGCAGCCCGCGTCCTGTAGCCGGGGTGGGCTGGCAGCCCGCTGGGGGGTCCGTGCAGCTCAGAGGGTCGCAGCCTGTCCCGGGAGCTGGCAGGGGCCACAGAGCCCCCAGGGGCGAAGGGAGGAGGGGAGGGGGGCGTCCTCAGTGCTCCCTCCTGCCTGGTGTCAGAGAACAGCCAGGGGGCCTGGGGGCCCAGGGAGGCGGCCCTGCAGCCGCCTGTTGGCCAGGGCCGTGGGCAGGCGCGGGGTGGCATGGGCGGGGCTGTGCTCGTGGGAGGGAAATGCCAGGGGACGAGGACATGGTCCACTGCCCGCCACCAGCTCGATGCTGGAACCCCGTGTGTGGACGTTCTCTGCAGATCTCGCCGGGACGGTCACGCCCCCAAGTGTCCAGCGTGGTCAGGAGGGACGAGCAGAGCCGCCCGGAGCAGGAGTGCGGGTGGGGGCTGTTCCGACTGTCAGGCTGTTTGGGATGTGCCGTCACCGTCACGATCCCAGGCGTGCGCTACAGAGGGCAGGCCTGCTGGGTTTTGGAGGGAGGAGCGCAGCTTCCCCGGGAGAAGAACGCTGGGGACACTGAGTCGTGACACGCCTGTATGTGCCGTCCCGGAGGCCGGCGTGGGTCTGGGCCAGGTTCCCTGCTCAGGCGCCGGCCTGTCTCCTGAAAGGAAGGGCTCTCCGTGGGGACGGAAAGGAACTGGTCCCGGACATTTGGGAGCTGACGCAGACGGGAGAGGGGGCGCGGGGGGCTGCGGGGGCTGGGGTGGCCGCAGGGCTGGGGTGGCCGCAGGGCTGGGGTGGCCGCAGGGCTGGGGTGGCCGCAGGGCTGGGGTGACCGCAGGGCTGGTGGTAGCCGCAGGGCCGGGGTGGCCGCAGGGCCGGGGTGGCCGCAGGGCCGGGGTGGCCGCAGGGCCGGGGTGACTGCAGGACTGGGGTGGCCGCAGGGCTGGGGTGACTGCAGGACTGGGGTGGCCGCAGGGCTGGGGTGACTGCAGGACTGGGGTGGCCGCAGGGCTGGGGTGGCCGCAGGACTGGGGTGACTGCAGGACTGGGGTGGCCGCAGGGCTGGGGTGACTGCAGGACTGGGGTGGCCGCAGGGCTGGGGTGGCTGCAGGGCTGAGGCGGCTCAGCCCGAGCTCTGCTCTGAGCTGCTTCCACCCAGGTGGGCGCCTGAATCTGTTGGGGCCACCAGCAGGGTTCCACCTGGCCGCTCAGACGAGAGAGGGTTTAGGTCACCTCCCTCCTCCATGTGCCGTCCCGGGACACCCCCAGATGTCCCTGTGCTCTGGGGGGTTCCGCATGGTGCTGGGCCAGGGCCTCGCAAACGCCGACCCGCCGTCGAGACTGCCCTTGGCTGGGCGTCTGGGCACGCACACTCCTCGGGACAAACACGGAAACGTCCCGTTGGATTTTGCCTAGGACGCCTAGGAAGAGACGATTGAGAAGTTCTACATTGACAGCGTGGCCTTCTCCTACCGCTCCTCTGAGCAGAAGGCACGTGTCTGGAGGGAAACGTCCAGGCAGAGTGTTGCCGGGCGTCAGAGTGGGAGAGGGCTGTGGCCCGGGGCACCACCCAGAGCCTCCTCTCTGTGCACGGAAGCCAGGTGGTGGCAAAGGAGTGCCAAGCCTCTCCCGGGCTGCTCTCCACGGGGCGGGGGCTGGCGGCTCCATGTTCTGACTCCCGGCGTCTGCGCGGGGCAGACTGCGCCCTCGGACTGACCCCGTCTGATCTCTCCGG